ATGTAGCCAGTGAGGCAGAGAGAGTAAAGAGCTGTGCGTTGAACATAAACCAAATGATGCCTTCCAGCATGGAAAAGAATTTTCTCAAGAAGACAGAGCCAGCCTCTTTGGTGGTGCATGGCAGCAGGAGGAAAAACAACAGTCAAACTGAAACAAGATGTTCTGTCCAGATATAAGGAAAAGCCTTTCCATCACGAGGGCAGTGAAGCACTGGACTATGTGGCACTGAGACATTATGCAGTCTCTGTCCTTGGAGATTTTCAAGACTGGACTCGGTAAAACTCTGTGCAACCTGGTCTGACCTTGGAGCTCACTCTTGCTTTGAGCAGGAGTTTGGACTACAGATGTCCTGAGTTCCCTTCCAGCCCTAGGATCCTACAACTGTCTGATATTCCTCCATTCTTTATAACCCTCTGCCCTGGGGAGCTGCTTTCCATCACGCGAAAAAAGAGAATTTGTTATGACTCCAGCTGTGAGAGTTGGCTGCTCTGCTCCACCACGATACTGTCTGCAGTCCAGCGGCACATTCCAAACTACCCATACAAGCAGAGATGAGCACAGGTCCCATCTCAAAGATCTTGACTACTGGTGACTGTTTTGTCCCTGCTAACCCAGCACTTGAAGTAAGATCTGCACCAGCAGCAGCTTAATTTAGAAATTATGCTGCCAGGTCAACAGACTGTCCAAAGCAACACGGACATTGCTGGTTTCATGAAAGCAAGGATTCATGTTAATACAGGTATAGTTTCTGCCTTTTCCACACACGGGTATGCTTTCATTTAATTTCATTTAGACTCACAGTGCATAGGATGGTCATTGTATGGAGTCCTTTGGAAAATTTTGACAGCCTCCGATTTGTGATCATATGATGGGAAGTACTTTCTTCAAAAATTACCATTGCGTTTTCTTTTCACCTCCAGATTCTTTAATGCACTTGCTCAAACTGGAAAGGTCACTCTCAACAATGCCACAATGCCAGCTAGATTCCTCCTTCTGCTTACTAAATACTTTCAAAGTTCTTATTTTGTAATCAACTCTGCTGCTGCTGTATATAAAAGAACTGAAGGCTGATTATAGTAAACAGCTCTGCCAATGGCTATCTGTAATTGAAAATATTTACATGAAATAGCGGTGTGAAAAACTGGCTCATGTTATGTGATCAATAAACTCTGAATTCAACATAGGTGACTTTTTCCATTCCTGTTAAAACCGATTTTTATATTTTTTTTCTTTACTTAATTCAACAGCCTTTCTTGGCCAGTTACTATGGAATAATATCAAAGCTTCAGAGCCAAAACAGCTAATCCGGTCAACAGCACTTGGCAGGGTTAAGAGTGAATTTCAACTCACTGTAGAATTCTAGAGAAAAAAAAAAAAGTCTTTTTATGTTGTTTGAAGTTCCACTTTGCTGAAAGAGAACTAGCACACAAACTTTATATGAACTTCTTTTATAAGAAAGGATTTCACACTCAGGGCTTGAGTTAGCTGATAGTCATGCTCCTGAGATACCCTGGCAGATCTAACCAAAAATACAGACGGTTAAAAAGTAGTTATTCCTGAATCTGGCTTCTCTTTGTTTTCCTTTCCTTAGTAGACTGCTTCACAGCATACACTTCCTTGCTCATGGGCCTGGTTCAAACAGTTTTTCGAGCTCTAAGAATCAACGGACTGGAAAGGTTTCTCAGTGCAGTGTCAAAGGTTGCAAGAACAGTACTTTTAACACATATTAGTTACTTATTTAACCATTGCTCCCCACTTGTCTGGTGGTCACTAGACATCTTCACTTGCTGGTGCATGTCAGCTGTCCTGATGTTGTTCATGCATGTGAAATGTGACCCTTGCTTCTTTGTATCATCCTGGTAAACGAGTCACGTGAAATGACATTTCTCAATGCACACACAACTGTATTTTCATTCTTTGCTTCTTGTTTACAACTCATCATCTTAGTGACACATCTGGGAAATGGACAGTTGCATATGCAGCCATGCAAATATTTTGCCATGTGGCTTGGGCAGCTGACTGCAGATCACACAGCTTCAATAACCAGCTGCACAGGCTTTGCCTTTTGCTGTCCAGTAATGACACCAGTCACTTCTGTTGGGAATTGTCTTTGAGGAGCTGAAGGCTGCAGTGGCTGTACCTAGAATTCATAGAAGACTGACAGCAAGAAATTATTTAGGGAGAAGAATGCTCTTCTCAGAAGTTCTTGCAGACCAAACATGAAGAGAATTTTGATAAATCTAAAAACTGATAAAGAACTTCAGAATGGGCCATTATGCATCTAAATGCTAGATATTGCCACGTCTAACTTAGGGCTTGCAGCACCAGACACCTCACAGAGATGAAGGACCCTGAGGCACACACTGGCAAGTGCTGAGAGCTCACCACACAACACCCGTCACCCTGTCCTCCCTGCCACCTGCTGCCTGTCCTCCCTGCTTTCAGCAAATCCTAGATAAAGACACAAAGATCTCTCAGCAGCTCCTGAAGAAGATGTTGAACAGGCACAAGTTGCAGTGCAGTACACCAAGGAGAACCAGAATGAGTGCTGGTTTGTCATAATGATTTTGTAAATTTTGGCAGTTTTCTGTAGTGGGGCTGGTAACATCCAAGGTGATGCTGGATCAGCTCAGGATAAGGATCACAGTGGCTGTCTCAAGAGAACTCAGCACCAAGTATTGTACTTTGCAGAATGGAGATCAGGAAAGCTTCGTGCTGACAAGTAAGTGGGGAAACACCCAGCATGAGGCTCAGCATCTTCGTCCTCAAATCCGGTTGCTAAATGTCTGGATTAGGGTTTGGGGAAAGAGCTGGCCTGAGCCCATCTGTGGATTTTCCTCTCTCAAAAAATTAAGCAAAGCTCCATTTGATTTTAAAATTCTGCTCTCAGAGGCTGAGGGTGGCACTGAACACACATGGGTCAAAAAGCAGACCCAAACGTGGGAGAAGGCACTGGGCAGTTTGAAACTCCCTTTACTGAAACATCATGTGAACCATCGTTGTTACAACCAGCCTCATGGGTGATTCCTCACTCTGGCCCAGTTATCCTTGATTTTTCTGTGTGCAGGGAAACAGAGTCAACAGGAGAAATTCTGTCCCTACATCCTACTCCCTACAATGGTTAGGGGATAGCCCACAGACTATTTTTTTAAAAGCACATGTTGCTGTAGCTTAAGAGTGCAACTATTTCTGCATTTTGTGAGGTCCTGGGCCCTGACATTGTGCATAACCTGCTAGCTGTTGCCAAAAAAAAAGAGGCTTAGTTAAATTTAAATGAAACAATGTTATGGTTAGGCCAGAGATTAAAAGATGATGTTTTCTGAGCTGAGAGAAAAAGTCGCTGAGGAAGCTGACAGGTTATTTAGGGCCAGACCTCCACTATTTTGGAGTTTGGTGCTTCAGTTCATCCTCCTTAGCAATAAAAACCCCACTTTGTATCCACCTGCTCAACAGAAGCTGTTTGTTTCTGCCTCCCCTGCACAGTCTATTTGTGCTGCCATTCCCTTGCCTGCTGCAAACAAAATCCTCTAGGTTAACCTGATGATCTAAACTAACCTGGCTAATGTTGCCAGAGTGGATTATAGACTGTCATGATGAATTCTCCACTGGCAACAGGAGCAGTGGAGCCACCAGCAACAGGGAAGTAGTTAGAGACAGCAATGCCTCCCATCAGCACAACTAGATTTAGGGGAGGTCACGTCTCCATGGTTTTACTTCAGTTACTTTGATAAAAATGTGAAAGTAACTGGGCAATAACTGTGTGTATAAAAGCATTTTCCATTATCTGGTAAACTGGGTTATTTTATGAGAAACACCAATGGTTAAGTAAAATAATGACTTAATTACAGTAACTTCTCTAAAGGGCTTTAATGTGAAGAGAAGAAATATTTATGAATAAATGAGTTATCATGGAGAAGAATCTACCATGACACTGAAAACCATCAGATCATGGGACAGTCTTCTAAGACATGGCCTCAGCTAAAATGGCAGATCACATTACACAAAACATTTTCTGTGCAAGAGGTTAGTAATCCCTCCTTGGCAGAGGGGCGGATGAAAGGACTTGATATTTTGAGTCTTCTCGGTCTGATCTCAGTCGTCCCATTGCCGTCTTCTGAGCAGTCTGTTGTAAGAGTAAGCTGTACACCAAAATCAGAAATACAGACTCCACAAAGAAGGTAAGAATTTGGTATCATTTCAAACTAAAGACATAATGAATTTTCTTTGCTTCCAATTGTCTCCCTGTTAAAAATATCTTGATATGGACAAGGCATAGCACGGGCAGATTTTGGATAAAGGTCTTCATCTGAAAAGGTATGTTTTGCAGGATGTCCGACAAGATGTATTGGCGTGTTTTCACTCCAGTGACATGAAGGTTTCTTGCTTAATTTTATTTGCAAACAGCTGCGAGACTCAGCACATGAAGAGAAGAACATCATGGATGAGTATTCTGGGCTGGCTGCCCAAAACTTGTTATGATCATTAATACATCCCTCACACAGTATGTGACAGTTTTCCCATCTTCATACGTGATTCTTTTTCTAAAAGGAGAGCCAAAAGGGCTATCTTGGAGTATAATTTTGCAACTCCAAGGTAAATAACGAGAAGTCAATAAAAAATTAGAAACTGATAGAAAGATGAAATGACTTCTGGTTTCCTAGTGCACTACGAGTAGTGCTATAACTATCAAGCTAGCAAAATTTAGAGCTCTCAAAATAAATCCAGTGGTTAGCAATTCTTAAAGTATGAAGTTGAGAAAAAATGTAAAACGTTTTCACTCACACTTCAGAAGTTAGCTAAAGCCTGAACTCTTTGAACGGAGTACATTACCTCGTTAATGTTGTTAAATGCATTCCATTTGAGTATAGTATTTGCAAAGAACATGATTTTTTGATTTTTTGTTCTTTGTAATAATCCTTCTAGTCTTTTTAAACGCTCCGTTTTCAAAGCTTCTACAAACTCTCCTTTGTAGTGTTTGTTGACGACTATGTTGTTGATATTTATGCTACTTCTTTCAGCGTTTCTGCTGCTGCCTGCACAGTGAAGGCTGCAATGGAAATCTGCCTCTTTACTTCTTTCCAGGCTTCATGTTGATCAGCTCTGTTTTTAATGTCAAATAGGGCATCATAGATCCCTGGAAATGATTCTCCTGCATACTTGTTATGGCTGCTTGGAGCAAAGATAACATGTCTGTAGGGAAGTTGAGGGAAAAAAAATAACAATATTCTGCATTAGAAAAATAAAACATATTACTTTCTGAATAAAACTAATCTGTTTCTGTATCATGTGTTAAATTCTTGACACTGCAGATTTAAATAAAAAACATTATTGCAGCAGTAGTACCTATAATCTGTGTAGCAAGAAAATTACAGAAGCTACATTCATTATTCCATGCGAATTCCAGAACTTCATAGCGAAGAAGACTTGAGATAAAGTTGACTGAAGTATTTTCCTTTCCCTCATTTTAGATAAAATGGAAAGCTGAAAAAAAGCCAACTTCTTGTCTCACAGATATACACAATCTCCAACAGATGCAGGCAGGCTCTGAGGTAGGAAAGCTGATGCTTTAACAAGAGACTGTTCTCAACAGATTTTTAATCAGAAGCTATGAGAGATACACGATTGTACATCTTAAGCTCTCTTCCTACAGTTACTTTTTAGTGGAACTTTTTAGTGGAGAGATTACTGTTCTAAATTGTGCAGACGAGTAGAAGGAGTAAAAAGCGAGACTTGGTTTGACTAGTCTGCCTCTCAAACAACACTTCTTGAACTGGATGAGGGAACTACTGTATTAATGTCACTGCTGTTAGAGTAGTGATCTGGGCACTGCATTTGCTAGCATGACTGCTCTGCTACAATCAATCAAACTGTAGATACTTCAATTATATTCTATTTCCCTTTCAAATCATAGTAACTTCCTAAAGATCCTTTACCACTGAAATTGCTTGAAGTGAGTCCAGGGCCAAACTTTCAAATCTGTTTAGAAGCCCATGGAAATAAATGGGAATGTGTTCACTGATCTGAATAGGTTTCCAAAAACACCTTTCCTCATGCTGTACGGTCTATCTCACTGAAGTTTTCCTTAATGTTGTTTTCCCTTTTCAATTTATTTGTCTTGTTTAATCTCCTTTTGCCAAGTTTAATAAAATCACTACAATTCCATCTAAAGACCTGTATCTAAAGGAATTCGCATAGGGTGCTCCAGACAGAAAGTGAAAGAGAAGCCTTTCTTACCTATAGAATGGCCGGCCAGGTAATCCAAGAGGATCAATAAAAGCCCTTTCTAGAAACATGAGCTGATCATTTAGGGATCTGACAGTAAGTAGGCTAAAAAGAAAACAAAGGAATATGTTAGCTACAGAGTTTTTGGCCCACTCTCATTCCATGCCCAACATACACAGCTCTGGATTTATGAAGAAGAGCAGATCCCAGAAGACAGTGTAGCCCACAGGACAGCCCATGTCAGTTAACCTGCACAACAGAATTATGCTGATCTGCCCTTTGAGACAGTTTGGCTAAAAACCTGAAAGTTTCTTTTTAAACTCTTTTTAAAGGCCAAGAAATAGTATCAAAGAAGAGAGAGACTTTTCAATATTTTCTCTCCTGTTGCAACTTATTCCTTTATCTTCTTTTCTTTGAGACACTGAGTCAGACCATTCCCTTCTTTTGTTCGACAGTTTTCTAAATACCCTATTTTCCACAAAGCCAGCCAGCTGCAAATTACTTCAATAAAAACACATTTATTTTTACATAAAACCACAACAGCTGAGAAACAGGAACGTTGTGATGTTAGGATCATCTTTTGAATCATCCAAGAATTGTATTTTTCTGACAGAGGATTGTAAATTCCCTAGAGCAGAGACAATCTGTGTCTGTGTGTTCTGAATAGCTTTGAGCATACTACTGATGCTTAACAAATAAAAGAACTGTGAAGATTATACTGAATACATGTGGGTTTTGTAGTTTGCATCCAGGTAACTTACTATAGAGCTTCAGAGGTATTCACCAATAAAAAAATGGTAAATTTTTAATCATAATAAGCCCGGAGTGACTTTACTACTGTCAATGACATTGTTTCAAGTTTACATTGGTGCAAACGGAAACTGAAACTGCCTGGTTGAATTAATGCTTAAGTTAGGCCATTCATCAATGAAATCATTTTTAAAATGTCACATACATGTCATATGTCATAAATGTCATATTTTACATAAGAAATTACCATTAACTCATTTATCCTGAAAGTTGCTGCCATTAAAAAGATGGCTTTTATTCTCACTTAGTCTTTCATAGGGGTAAGCATATGGCTAAATGAGATTCTTCTCCAAAAATGTAACATAAGCATATGTATATATAAAGGAAGATTGGCTTCTCATTCTAGGCATGGCCTACAAAGAATAAATTAAGTCAAGTGCAAATTAAACTTTTTGGCATAGGTGGTGCATAAAATTTTTTGAAAGCTCATCAAAAAGCCTGCTGCAACTACAATCATGGTACAGATTTTATTTTCTTTTTTTCATTAAATTGTACCAGTATCCTGAAAACAAAAATGCTGGCAAATGAAGGCCACAAGTCAACATTTGTTCTTTAATGATAATCCAGTAATAAAATCTTAGGACATGTGTCTATTTAGTGGGAGTTACACACCTGATCTGGCTCTGCTCACGCTAACCACCACTCTAGTCACATCCATGTATCATCCTGGCACTGCTCCTCAACTAAAACCCATCGAGAATTGCCATTAATTAGCATGGACACTTTTTGAAGCTACCATGGCTAGATTCCCAGGCTCTGCAGTGTCTCTGATGTCCACTAATCCAACATTTCTATACTTTTGTTTCCACATTCTTAAAGACAGCAGGAGTTATAATGAAACAAACAACTGAGAGACATTTGCCACCAAGGTTACTCAGGAGACTAAATGCCAAGTGAAAGCTACAGCATCTGAGCGCAGATGACTATATGGAGTATTCGACTGGAAGAAAAAAACATGTTAAACTTACTTATTAATATCTATTTGCTGCAGTCTGTGATGAAAGCTAGCAGCAAGTTCTGTAAAATTCTTCACAGCTGAAAAGAGCGCATCTGGAAGTAGCAGGAAGGACATCATTAACTTCAGATATGGAAGGAAACAGTTAACAAATCAAATTCTTCAAATCAAATCTTTATCTTTCACTTTGATCAAGATCTATCAATTCTCATTGAACTAAAATCAGATAACCCCATATTCATACACTAAAAATACCTAATTCTGTGTGAAAACGTGCCTTGGAGACAATAGAAAACAGTCTTTTTGTGGATATTGTTTATTATTTGCTACTTAGAAGAATGCACAGCCATACCAAAAAGCAGAACGGAACTAGACTGTTCAGGGAGGTCCGAGATTTTATAAAACACAGCAATCTGTGTTTTACTGGTATGTCCCTCTACACGTGCAGAGTTTTGTGCAGGACTGAGAGCACGTGTCTGTGTGTGCACGTACCTGATACTGGACATTGGTAACCAAGTCCTAAACTGAGAAGTACAAAATGCTGCCAATAAAATAAAGGCTTTTCAGGCAGGAAGCACATTGTGAATCCTTGTAACATGAAATAAAAATCCACATGCTAGCACAAGATCCCTGTTCTAGCATAGAGAGGAATCATTCCTGCCTCACCAAGCCCTGAGGCAGACTTCTCATGGTGGTTGCACTGGCCATCATGTGCCCATAAACTGCAACAACAGAAGTTCTGTCTGGATATAAGAAGAATGTTTTTATCCTGAGGACATCCAAGCACTGTGGTCCAGAGAGATTTTGTAGTCTCTGTCCTTGGATGTTTTCAAGATCATGTAAGATAAAGCTCTAAGCAACCTGGTCTGACCTCTGAGCTGACCCTGCCTTGGGCAGGCTGACCTAGAGACCTCCTCAGGTTCCTTCTAACCTGAATTATCCTGTGATCCTATGATCAGCATCAGACAAAGAATCATCCAACACCATAAGCTGCAAAGCAGTGTGAATTTTTGTTTTAGGGACCGAGACAAAGACAGCTTGATGCCAACGTTGGTGAACCATGCACAGGTCAAAGAACATGTGACGGCAAGCGTTAGCTCTTGGCAGTGGCCAAGTCATGACACGGGCATACTGGTGAGAAAATAGTCACATTTCACATTATTAGAGGGTGCAGATTTTGTTATATTTACTGTTCATATAGAAAAAGGTAAATACCTGGTCATGACTAAGACACATATTAAAATAAGGTACTGCTAGTATTAACAGAAAAGGAGTGAGATGAAAGACTGTACGTACCAAACGACACATTGTATGTTGCCAGATCCTCTTCATGATTCCTTGACAAATTATAGATGATGTGAGCATAGTTGCTCACAGCTGATGCATAATCTCTACAGTCAAAAGGAAGCACAACAGAGTTGGCCAATTCGAACACCAGGCCTCCCCGTACCTGAGCTACTGTCAGATGATTCTTGAAAGTGGGATCATAAAACCTCTCCACAATTTCATAGGTTTCATAGACGCTGTGGTAAACTGGGTAGCTGCTGTATTTTTCTATATCCTGAAACAAAAAAATCCCAAACCAAATTAAGCCATTATTCAGGTCTGGATACTTCAGCTTTGCTTGAAAACTTTTGCTGTGGGATTCAAGGCACTCAAAAGTTCATAGAATCATAGAATTGTCAGGGTTGGAAGGGCCCTTAAAGATCATCTCGTTCCAACCCCCTGCCATGGGCAGGGACATCCCACACTAGATCAGGCTGCCCAGAGCCCCATTCAACCTGGCTTTAAAAACTTCCAGGGATGGGGCTTTCACTCGCTCTCTGGGCAACCTGTGCCAGGGTCTCACCACCCTCATGGGGAAGAACTTCTTCCTAATGTCCAATCTGAATTGATCTTTCTCTAGTTTTAATCCAGTTTTAAATGTAATCTAATTTTTTAAGTGAAATCTAGTTTTTTAAGTGTAATCTAGGTCACACTAATCCTATGTAGTTACTATAGAGTGTTGAATGAGAAGTGCTCTGTGGTGACTCTCTTAGACACCAGCCTGTGATGAGATGAACGGTCATCTGGAGCGATCTTTCACCACTGACCATGTACCGAGGCTAAAGAAGGTAGCTAAGAACAGACAGATAACTTCTAGTTGGCTACATAAAGGTGAGATTGCCCTTCCTCTCTTTGTCTGGATCGCAAGTCATTTCAGAGGAAAAGACCACACTGAACAGGTTGAGCCTTGAACATTTCTCAGCTAGTCTCACCTCACAGTATGCTCCCAGATTCAAATCCACAATTTCCATAAAACATGAGCCATTTTGAAATCAAAGCTTCATAATTATGATTACAAGTCATCCAAAAGTAATCATAAGCCACTCATAGGACTTCATCAGCCATAGGTAATTTTGACCACATCCATTTACTCTGAGCAAAGGTTCTTTTGCCTGACTGACACCCAGCTGACCATTACTACTTATTAAATATTTGTGTTGTAGTAGCACACAGAGTTCTAGTAATGAGCTGAGACTCCACTCTGACACATTGAACTAGTCCAGAAAGCTGCCAGTCTAAATGGCTCAATTACAGATGACAGTACCAAGGCAGTTTTAGGGGAGACAGAATTATAGACACAGACTTACCCAATTTTTACTGTAACGTGCTCTGCCTGAAGCGATGCCAAGGCGTTGAAAAAAGACTTCAAAGTCATTGCCAGAGCCCAGTTTATTTATTCTTTTAACAAGAAAGAGAAAAATGCCTTGAGTGACAATGCTTAAAGTATAAATTTATTTTGCTTCCAAGTACTGTGGTAGTTATTTATTCTGCAGTTGCAGCCACTACACAGTCTTTCCTCAGTAGACTCTTCCTGTCAATATCTCATGAATTGCCTGTGACCCCACATCACATGCACCTCATCAGTTGCACTCTTGGAGGAGCAGAGGCATCATTCTCAGGGTCAGGGAAATCAAACTCTCCAGAGGAGAATTTAACTCACTGTCTTTAATCAGTGAGAAGTCCCCACGACCTTCCTCCCGCTGAACTTCCACTATCCCAGGCACTCAACTTAGAGAAATTACAACGGTACCAGCATGGCTCCATGGAATAAAGTCAGTCTTTAGGATTCTATAGAGTAATTCTGGCAAATTTGAAGGGTAGTGTTCTAAACGTGTGCTCTCCAGCCACCCAAGTGCCAGGAGCCTGGAAGCAAGTGCAAAGGAAAGCTGCCGCGTCACCTTCTTCTGTGCCTGCTGCTGGCTTGTGCATACTGCCCTTAATTGTCCAAATCTCTGTAGGCTACATGAACACTTCAGTTTTCATATGTAAAGATTCCTGTTCATGCTGTAAAGGCACGTTCACAAAACTGTTGCACAATAATCTGTTGTATGAGCTGCAATCAATAAAATTCTGAAATTTATACCAGCTGAGAATCACATCATTTGTTTTAGGTGCACACATTTTCAAGTGAATCTTTAAAATCTAGACTCTACAAGTTATAATAACTTTTGGCATATTGTTTACTTTCTTTTGTCACTGACCTGGGGACCTCTTTATATTCTCTTGACGGATTTTTTTTATACCAGCTCTCATAAAGAGATTTTCCTTCAAACCCCTCATCAGGACTTGGTATCTAGAAAAAGTATATTGCAAAAAAAGACAAAGGGTACAATTTTAAATGTTACCAAGCAACAAATCTACAACCTGCCATCATGTAAAGTCTATGGCTTAGGACAATGAATAAGTCACAGTTTTAAATCCCTTAGCGCTTCTGCATTTCAATTTAAAATTACAAATGCATAGCATTTTCCAAAAGAACAGTTAATTTGCTAAAAGTAGGTAATTTTAGAGGGAAGAAAACACAGAGAAAGTAAAACATTTCAAGTCAATATTTGCATTTTCATATTTCTCTACAAGATTTTTTGACATGTAGTTGAAATATTTAATAAAAAAGCACTCACAAAACTGAAACTCTTTGTTTCATTTTGTCAGGAAAGTTCAGTTTTGTCTTGGTTTACGTCAAAACTGTTTTCTGCCTTATTTTAGTTCACAAAAATTATTTTTATGGATACAGCAGTAACCTTAGAAGAGCAAAGCGTAGAGAACTTAGAGAATTTGGTGTTTATGTCACCATAGCTGCTACAGAGATATACAAATCACGATCATTCTAAAGTTCATTCCAGATTACTGAGCAAGTTAAACAGTGTGGGTATTTTTTCACCCTTCCTTTTTATTGGGGGGCTGTTTTATTATCTTTAATCTATTAAAGATTATTAATATCTATTCTATTAATAACACCTGTATCTACTGTCTAAGAATTACTCCACAACAGGAATCAAAATAAAACTAATGCATTTGGGGTTTTTGCTCACGAAGCTAATTGCTCATACAACACAGTTAACAGCGTTAATCATTTTTGCCACAGATTAACTTTAGATGGGATCACAGGGGACGTGCGTCCTCATCAGCATTCTCTTCAGAGCTCAGCTACCAACAACTGCTGGTTACACGCATTCCTCAGCTTTTGTCGCTGCTTCCAAGCTAGAAGAAGGATTATGCAACCATGTTTACTGGTATTTAGGTCAACATTTCATCGATGGCTTTGGAGTCCAAGCTGAGACTCTGCTGACCCGATTTTCTGACCAGTTTGAACTCTTACACTTAGCACAGGTTACCATGGGAACTGCAGGTGATCAGCTTTACTGCACTTCAGGACAGAAATATTTTTATCCGGCCACCTAATTTTAACAGAGTTAAATTCATTTGTTGCCTTTTGATTGCCAGAAAATGATAATACTGAATTACTGCATTTCCTTTACTTTCTTATCAGTCTAACACCACCTTCCAAGAGATAACAAATTATGGACTCTGGAAAAGACAGATGTCTGAATATATACTGCAGATGAAGACAGACAGAGTAAATTCTACTGTATGTAGAATAGATAGAGTAGCTGAATGTATATTATATAAATGTATATAAAACACACACAAAGGAGTCTAATTAAATGTTCATGCTTTAATATAGATGAACAGAGAGAAGAAAACAAGACAAAACCAAAGCCCTCAGTGCCTCTAAGAGCCACTCTGAAAGGAAGGAACATCTTACATCTAAGTTGGTGAGGCTATTTCCTGAGAAAGGTCCCTACTGTTCAATTTTGTGTGCCACTCTACTACATGTGAGAGCATCATGGTCAGAAGCAATTAGTATTTAACAGGGTACACTGAATCTGAGTGCACTGACCAAACCTGTCACTACATACTAAAAACAATGCCACAGCAAGTCTAATTTCTCCACCTGCCGAGTCTCCCACTCCCATGGGCACTCTAGTAGTTGGACTGGGCAGCCAGGTTTGTGCTTGTTTGTGTCCTCTGGCTCATGACATTCTTTTGTTCTTTGAAGGAATACTTTCACAGGAGGAATGGAAAAATTCCCTAATCCTGAATATCTAATAATTTAAAGGTATAAGCTTGAAATCCCTTCACCAGTCCTAGAAAACAGCCCCAGTTACTTAGCTATTGATTGAAAAGGGGTACTGCAGTCAGAAATAAAAAGAAATACATGTGATTCTGTGATCTGACAACATATATTATTTGCAGAGCCCCAGCCAGTAAGCAAGCACTGAACATGCTGGCTACAATTTTCAAGCATTACCTCTTTAGTCAGACTGTACACCAGCCTGTACATCAGTGGTGTGCAATCCACTCGCAGTGTGTAGTTTCCTGGAAAAAAAGGAAAAATTATTTATTCAAAGAGGCAAGTTCTTCCCAGCTGAATCCTTGTGGCACAATCTGTTAATAAGAAGGGACTGGAGAGTTACACTCTCTATAAAGAACAAGCTGCTTCTCCCTGCGCAAGAGCTCTCCTGTAATCTTGTCAGTGCATTTGTATCAGGATGAACTACAGCCCAACTTTTGAAGCAACTCTTGAGAGCTTTTCTTACGTCACTATGCTTATTACACACATTATAAGAGGGGAAGCTGACTCTAAAAAGTTGCCATAGAACTGCTGACAGGGGCACGATGCTTCTTGTCCCTCCCCATGACTTCCCAGTCAGTACCTACTGTAAAGGATTCCTTCCCTGGAGCACCAGGAACATCTGAAGGACACTTCATGAGCCTGAGTCACTGTTTCCCCCCAAAGTAACGCAACAGAATTATCACATTTTATCTTTCACGGATCCGCAAAACAAAATACCTCCCAGTCATCTGTATATACAATCACAGTTCCCATAAAACAGAAGTCAAAACGACGTACCTTCGATGGAGGAATCTGCATTGATATAAGCCACTCCTCGTGCTTGCAAAACCTTGGCATTTTCCTAGGAGAATGAGAAGTGGAAGAAAATGCTGATGAACATTTTGCTCCCCCGAACTATTTTGCCATCACAGAGCTAACAGCTCTCTCAGCGAAAGACATCATATACTGCACAGATTCTCAGTAGTTCAAAAGGAAACTTAAGAGCGCATGTGTGGGAGAGACAGTGTGAGCGTGTGTCTGTGTATGTGTAAGGAAGAGAAAGGGAGGGAAGGAAGAAGTAATGCTTTTTAATACAGATTTCTAAATGATCTGCCACTGCAAATTTCTCCCTGAACAATATTGATTTACCTCAGCCCACTCTGTTGATCCTAACAGGCCAAATTCCTCTGCATCCCAGCTTGCAAACATCACTGTTCTCCTTGGCCTCCAGCCTGCAAAGAAAGGCCACAAAATTGTATTACACAAATAAAGACTGCTTGTTACATGGTAACTAATGTGAAAACAAATGTAGTTTTTTGGAGGCTCATCTTTTATCCTGGTCTGTAGGCAATGAGGTGTGTTTAAGGAACTTTAACACCAATTTCTTCACTGACCTAATCTAATGGTTTGCTAATTTTACAGCAATTTCATTTCTATTTCAATACTGTCCCAAATAACGTATTATTTTTCTTCTCTCAGCTTTAATTACAAAGAAATTTCTAGAATTTAAAATTCTGAAGAAGGAAAATAATGTGCTTATGCATAAATTCTTGAAAGAAAGCTTTTCTCTTCTTTTTGCTCTGTTCAATTTAGTACACATTGTATACCAGTGTCTACCCTGGCAGAAAAGTGTGCCATGTTTTCATATCAACTACCAAATTTCGTTGACCTGTCTCCCAAATGCCAGAATTCAAAAGCCAAGGAATTCCCTGTAACTTGCACAGATCACCTTCAAAACAAAGATCTTTCCCTTCAGGTTCTACATTTGATTTAAACCTAGGCCAAATGGAACAGGCTCTATTATCCTGCCTCTGTATCTCTGTCCAAAGTTTTCTTTGAGTCTACTGGAACCTTTTAATTTTTTGTGGACTTTCTTTTTTAACTTTTTGGGTTTTTTCAGCTTGCATTCCAAAGACAGTTTCCCCTGATATCCAGTAACTGGGAGGGAATGGGAAGAACACTAAATGTTGTCAGGTTTTAAGTGTAACGGGTAGGCAATAAGAGCTCCTCTAGTGCAGTATTTGCATTAGCAGTGTTTGAGTTAAGTCAGAGCTTCTTTCCATGGGATGTCAGACAAGGAGAGAGCATTTGCTCAGAAAGCAGCAGAAATGGTGCAGCTGAAGTTTGTTCCTATTCCAATGTAACTAGGTGTGAGGTACTTGTAACCCTTGCCTCCTACTATGTCCCCACAGTTCGTTCTCTGCATTGCACAGACACGCTTTATTTATTCTGCGGTCCGTCTCCAAACTACAGTCAAGTGCTGAGAAGGCTCTTGAAGTTGCCTTGATGAAGCCTTGATCAGTTCACCACTGCACTAATTTCACAGGACCACTGAAACATCCAGACTGACTAGTCTCAAATACTCACTAATCAACTGTACCTACATGTGACGTTTATTTCAGTAACCTCCACTATGTGTTTCATTTTCCTTTGGGTGTACTTTCTCCTGAGCAGAGGCATTGTGTCTGGCTCTGGAGCTCTCAGCACAAGAAGGACATGGACCTGTTGGAGCGGGTCCAGAGGAGGTCACAAAAATGATCAAAGGGCTGGAGCACCTCTGCTACGAAGACAGGCTGAGAGAGTTGGGGTTGTTCAATCTGTTCAACCTTATTGTGGCCTTCCAGCACCTGAACGGGGCCTGGAGGAAAGCTGGGGAGGGGCTGCTTAGAAGGACGTGTAGCAATAGGACAAGGAGCAATGTTTTAAACTAGAGCAGGGTAAATTTAGATTAGATGTCAGGAAGAAGTTCTTCAATATGAGGGTGGTGAAACACTGGCACAGGTTGCCCAGAGGTGGTGGAGGCTCCATCCCTGGAGACATCCAAGGTCAGGCTGGATGGGGCTCTGAGCAACCTGATTTAGTTAAAGATGTCCCTGCTCACTGCAAGGGGTGGGACTGGATGACCTTTACAGGTCCCTTCCAGCCTGACACATTCTATGATTTTATGATTCTACCTCACATACACCAAGGTGAAACTGGGACTAGTTAACAGCTGCAGAGGAACCCGCTTCTCTGAGAGATCAGTGGGATACACGTGTTTAATTTTAAGCACATGCTTAAGTCTCAGATAAACCATCGGGCACTGCTGAGATCAGTGATCTTGGGGTGCTTTATCCATCCATTACATTACCTTTCATTTTTAGTTTCCCAAAGCTCCTCACAATCTCGTGAACCACAGCTGCCCCACTCTGAGGATCAATGCCACCAAATACCCACGAGTCGCGGTGGCCTCCCAGGATGACATATCTGTCTAGAGAAAGTAATTTTGGAGGTTTACTTACAAAAATGTTTTTCCTGATTTTCCCAATTTTAGACATAGGTAACAGGCAACAAAGCTTAATAATTTATAATATATATGATAGAAAGACAAAAGACATTGTAAATCTCCAAAGACATTTTTCTGCATTTTCAGCCAGTGCTAAAGAATTTGTCAAACACAATAACTTGATCCCATTAGACTTAAAACCTCTTAAAATCCATAAATAATACTTCTGATTTTAGAAATATTGCAGCTGTCCTCTAAAGATAGAAACATCTTTCCGTATTTTACAATATTTGTTTGTAATTGCTGATCCACTTAGTATATCCGTACAGCACACCAACTCACAACACAAAGGTGGGCTGAATGCAGTATTTCTCTGAATATTTATGTGCAGTCAACCATAAAAAGGGTTATCCAAACCATGGCAGAGATGTGACTGGTAAGATCAAAGTCAGACTAGATCTCCGTGCTACTGTAATACACTTAACAGTTGTGTTTTGGGCAGCAGAGAAGTGCTGCAGTTATAAATTAAATGATATTGTTGTAACCAAATTTAAGTTTTAAAGAGCTAATTGCTTAATGAATACTAATCGCTATTTTAATTAGATTTGTTGATAAGGGTAAGAAATATACAAAACCTCACTCATGCTAAGAAATCACAGATGCAGGCCTTCTGAAAATGGCTACAGCTAGAGCTGGTACAAGTTGCAAAACTGGCAGGGAATTTTCTGAACTTAGCAAAGCCAGATCTGTAGCACCGTATCTGCACCTTAATTATTATTAAGCATGTTTCACGTAGATATATACGCAGGCATGCCTCCCTATCTTTTGTGGGTTTCGTGATCAAATGTGGTCTCACTGCCATGACCAACGATTGTATGGAAATAAGATATATGAATATTAACAGGGGCTGAACTAATCATTATAAAGGTCAAAATTAATAGCGGGTATTGTATGCATGTTTATGTTAAAATATGTTAAATATCATAATTTTGCATAAAAAGTGTATAAGTAGGCTGAATTTTTGTGATATATCCAAAGCACTGGGTGGTTTCCAAGCTTCCCAGCGCCGCAATAAAGAAGTGCCTGCTTATCTACGCGTAGATAAGTTTTGTCATTTTTGTGACCTTTCCCTTTGAAAACCGCAACAATATTATCATCCTCCCAGGGGTGTCTCTATAGCTGGTTTTTTAGAGCGTAAAATCACACTGATACAAGAGACTGTAAGACAAAAAGTGAATAGGGATGTCTTCAGATGGAATGCAAAATCTATTCCTATGTTAGTAGGGAAGAATATCCACTTAAGAATATTCTTTCAATCATCAAGTTACTTGCCTGAAGACAAATATCTCTACCTTGGTTATGACTCCCCCTTGAAAATCAGCATTTACAGTGAAAGTGCTGACAGACCCTGAACCATATGATAGCTGGTGCAATAAATATTTCAACACCAATGATCCTGTAGCACAATACTGCAGAGAGAACGACATTCCTCATGTCCTCCTCGTAACTCTGAAGTGCATGCAGACACCACTGCACGCTTACGTTACACCAAAGACAAATTACTTCACCTGGTTCCACTGTGCCTCTGATGTTACCAATCACGTTGTAAATCCTTCTCACTTCATTGTTGCTATGAATGTGCATCTTGACCTTTCTAGTGTATTGGAAAGAAAATCCAAAGAGAAAATCCACCAGATTAGCTCAGAACTCAAAATTCAAAGTTTTTTTTTCTAGCAGCTAGTTTTTAAAGTTGGGAGAGTAAAATAAAAAACAAAACCATCTAACGTTAAATACATAAATAGTTCTAATCATCTAGAGGATGGTGCAGATCAGAATGAAGTCCAGCACAGTCAATACTAATGTGGCACCTCAAGCAGCAGAAAATGAGGCAACATCAGTTGCATCAAGACACCTTGTTTATCTACAACACAGCTGGTGATGCAACAACTCTTCCTCAAGGGTTCTCTGTATATTTTTCAGAAAGAATGTGGCATGACTAAGGCATAGGGAAAAGTCACTACAATAGCTCACCCAATATTGAAACATCTGGACTTTAATCCTAAACTGTAATTACTAAATCAGTTTAAAAACAATCTGAAGCCATAAAATTACACTGCAGTTAAAGCTTTTTTCTGGAAAACCTGACTTGTAGGTTAATACTGTTTTATATAAGGCAGTAGGTAAGACCAGAAGCTGGAATGAGATGAATTTAAAAAAGACAACAAACAAATTCAGTTCTCAAAAAAATAACCAGTCTCATCAAATAGTATGTCAAAGCTAGATGCTTTTGAAATTAATCTGGTTCAAGACTAGCAGGAAACTAAAGCAATTCAGTCACATGCATCCAATCAAGATGTAAATTTACTGAAGCTTTGCACTGGAGTGTATTTCATCCCAGGAAATGGTTGTAATCAAAGGAATGATGCAAATAAGCCCAGCTATTCTATCTTTGGTCAAATTTTATTTCTCTGCCTGTTTTTCTCGGATCCCAAGCAAGCTTCCCTTATGAAATAAAACTGACCTTGTAGAATAATTTGCAGTGAAACCAGGACCAACATTGTAAGATACATTCAAATTTCCTTTCCAGCTACTATGTGGTGATGTATGTCCTCCCATATTACTACAATGAAAAAAAAAAATCATTATTAGTTACAGGCATCTTACAATAACACCAAACACAAATGAGGAACCAGGAACCACACTTTGTTAGGTCCCACGTACACAGAGACCACAGTGATAGTCTTTGTCTTAGTCAATTTATAGTACAAGCTTCCACTGGAGAATAATCTGTCTTTTTTAGCTACATTAATACTAGTAATTAACATAGAGGAATAGTCCTGGGCCTTGAGATCAGCTTGGAACACTTTACAATTATCCTGGAAAAGTGTTGGCCTCCAAAGGTTTTACATAAAAACTGCCTCTTGTCCCTGGAATTTTCTAAGGCCTCAGAGTGCATTTACATTTGAATTAGCAGAGAGTAACTTGGATCATTCCAACAGTTTAACGGCACAGGCCATAGTCTTCCAGTTCTTATCCCTGGGCACTGCTTCATCTGATAGCACAGACAGAGTTGCTGTGTTTCAAAGATGTGTAAAATGTGTGATCAGTCTAAGTCACCTTTTCTTGTTCTATTGTCAAAGGTGAGATGTGTTTTCTCAGTTAACACAACTGGAAATGCAGTGATTCCAAGGACCACAATCACCATTACTTACTCATATATTTTTGACATGAACTTGTGAGAAACATATGCAAAATACTTAAAACTGTGCTGGATGTTCTGGTTCTTATCAGGCAAAATGTATTTATTGTAAATGAAAGCACGTCCTTTACTTCATCAAACTTTATTCCACAGAACACTTCAGCATGTCTTCAAGTCTTTGGTATATTTTTTATAGAAAAACATGATGGCAGGAATAATGAGAAGTTATGACTTTTCAAGTTAAAAGTGAAAGCAAGGGCCTGGTGATTTTAGAGGATTTAGATTTCATTCACGATTATTAAAAGCAAGTTCTAGTATTATTTACAACATATTGAAGAGAAGTATCTAGCTACATCATACATATTAATCTGCTCTACCACTACTAGTTGGCCATGGAAAAAAATGAGAGTTTTTTAGCCTATACCTTTTATCATTATGGGCAATTACCCCCCTAACAGTGATGACTGTAATGTTTTAGAAGAAAAGACAGTTTGGAGATAGGTTAGTCTGTAAACATTAGGGAAGAACTAGGTAAAACACTAGAACAGGTATGCAAAAGCACCAAATAAAGTAACATTCTGCCTCACATAAAACCGTTCAGTACTTCAGAGGAAACCTGCACAGAGAACCAAGATCGAATTTACTTTTATTTTTTGACTCAACATTCAAACAGAGGCATCAGACAGAGCAGGATGATTACTCACGTGATTTAGATGTAAAATTCCTACATAAACACACACCTACTGCCCTAAACACTTATCTGCTGTACTGCTGCCAACCCTGGCACCTCTGGCTCTGTATCTCTGCAGTTGATAGAGATGACTACTGCCACATTTTTAGGGGAATGATGCACTTGCCAACTCAAATCTCATCTTAGCTTTTTCAGAGAACTTAACTGGTTTAAGACAATTATGAATTTTAATGTTGTCCTCTGGCAAGCTGGTAGCTTGTCTTCATGTCACGTGCATGTTTAGTAAGCACACGTACTTGTACACAGATGTCTACTAAATCCCTGTAATACCCCTAAAGACACTCCTCAGTGTCCTTAAACTAGCTCGCTAGCATCGTTTCATATTTCTGCAACATAACACACCTGACGACAGAAAGCACATGCCTTCGCTGAATACATCCCATCAAACAGGCATGGCAAATATCTCCCTGCACAAATGACTGATTTCATCTGTGGTCTTTTTCACAAGATGGGTATCGCACCATTCCGCAAAATTTTTGCTTTTATTTGAACGGAGAGGCACCTTATAACTCCAGAATACATGACTGACTGGGATATATTACAAATGATCCTTCCCAGATCACTCAGCGTACGTCTAGTATGTACTACTGGATAACATCTCCTACAGAGAACCTAATGACAAACAGGTACTATTTCAACAGCTACAGTATAAGCACAGTGAAAGTCTTTTCCATTTCTTTTCAAATACTCTCCTAGCTTTCGAAAAACAGCCTGCTTAGAAGTCCTCATGTCTCCCATATACTTACCGCAGTAACAACTCAGCATCGTGATAGCCAATGGGATGAACTGGAATTTTTGGGAGACCCACACCGCTGGCTTTGTCTAATCGGTAGGTGTATTCTGGAAGCAAAAAGCAGGTATTTTCATATTTACAACTCTCAGAAGGAACCTCTACAATTCACAGCACAGTCGTAACATTGGATTCAGGGATAATCGCTTCACTTGCCTCAAAGTTGGGCTGACATTTCTTCCGTGATTTCATTCCTCATGCTTTATCAACACGTTTTCAGAATGACACTGACAAAGGTTCTCTCATAGTGCCTGCAGTCATGCATTTAGAGTTGGTTGGAAATTCTAAAACTATTGTTAATTTTTTGTGTTGAAATGCTTTTTGATAGAAATATTTCTCTCCACGGGAAAGAACTTCAGTCTAAGTCACAGTGAATGAACAAGAGCAAAGAGGGAGCCTGAAACACTCAGATGGGTACTAAAAAATATGTTGCCAGTTCATAAGGGATGCAGACAAAGTTTTATAAACTGAGCTACTGAATATTCTGTTTTGCTGTTTTTGTGAATAAATTGAAGTTTAGGTTTAGTTCTGACAAAGCTCAAATACAAACCATATTTTTTTGCAAGTAAAACCTTAATTTTCACGGTGTGTACAACATTTGATGTTTGCAAATCTGCAGGTGTGGAAAAGTTTTCTTCATAACATAACATTCCCTTGTCGAGGGAAGCAGACAGAGAATCATCTATGAGATCTGTGACTCTCACATGGAGAGTCAGAAACCTTCCTCATGGCCTCCCAAATCATGGAGGTCATAGCTCCTGCCACGCCACCATTGTGAACACATTTCCTCTTGCAGTGTAAGCTGTGCTGGCCAGAGGCAACTTTCCCCTTCACTTAGGGACTGCTCTTGTTGAGGTGAGGGCCTTCCTCAGATATGCTGGCTCAAGTGAGGGCATGAATGATTCTTAATGCATTTCAGTGAAACTTATCTGGATGCTAAACGAAATAGCTTAGGCAGAGCCCAAATGAGCAGCTGAGGAAGCATGAGGTGAAGATGAACCACTGGGGAATGGTGATCTTAGGAGCCTCAGCTGCAGCCAGAGGACGAGTCCCAGCATGAAATATCTCAGCCAGCAGAGGCTCTTGTGGAGGCAAAATAGCCCAAATCATGCAAAAAGGATAGCTGCAAAAAAAGAAACCTGTAAGCTGTGCAGGATGGCTTTTCGCTGACTTACTGTTGGGAAGAAGAAAGAAAAGAATAGGGCTTCAGCTGTCAGCTTTGGGCACTGCAGTATAAGAAAGACATTGAGGTGCTGCAATGAGTCCAGAGAAGGGCAACAAAGCTGGTGAAGAGTCTGAAGAACAAGTCGTATAAGGAGCAGCTGAGGGAACAGAGGTTGTTTAGTCTAAGAGAAGACTGAGAGAAGACCTTATCACTCTCCACAACTATTTGAAAAGAGGCTACAGTGAGGTGGTTGTCATGGGCTCATGTTGTGCCAGGGGAGGTTTAGACTGGGTATTAGGACAAATTTCTTTAGTGAAACAGCCATAAGTCACTGTAACAGGCACTGCAGGGAAGTGGTGGAGTCACTATCCCTGGAGGTGTTTGAAAAACATGTAGATGTGGCATGTAGACATGCAGACATGGTGTAGTAGTCATGGTAGTGTTAGGCTGACAGTTGAACTTGATGATCTTAGCGGGCTTTTCCAACCTTACTGATTCTATGATTCTACGAATACTTGTGTGATGATCTTTGGGCTAATCTGGGCATGCTTGTGAAGTTAAGCAGCCCTCACTGCACTGTGTGGCTCCCTTAACATCCCCATACTTTCTCTCCTGCACAATTTGCAGAAGTGGCCTACTGATGTGAATCCCCAAAGCTGCCTCCTTTAAGCAGCAGAAAGACCATGAAAAAAATGAGGTTTGCTCCCCATTATTTTCTCTTCCTTTTCCTGAAACCAGATCCTTGAAGCATGACTTCTCTCATGCCACGCACCTTTTGCAGGATAACCTGGTGTCAGAGGATCCCCCGCCCCATTCAGGTTTAACACATTCCCACGCTGAGCTCCTCCACCTGGAAGGTTCCAGCCATTTGGATAGGGATCTGGTCCTGGGGCGCAGTAGTCAGCAGGGTCAGAGTACAGAATAATTCCTTTGGCACCTGCCAATTCAGCATTCTTCACCTGCAAAGCACATCTCCAGTCTCTATCCAGTCCTTTATAGTTTGACATCAGAGTTCAAGGGGCAAAAGAAAGTATTACAAATCACAGTCATTATTGCTCAGGGCCTCACAGTATTACCACATAACCCGCGTTTGTATTCTGTCATTCAGATCAATATGATCCACTGACTAGTGAGCTATACACACCATGGAACGAAAAAACTGTATCACAGCGATGCAACCTTACCTTTCAGTTAGTCACGCATTTACCTTATTTATCTAAATGAACTCCTGAACTTATCTGAGGGCTCAGACTACACAGGAATATTACTACTGGAGAACTCAAAACTGTCTTTGCCTGTGAAGAAGACTAACTCCAAAGAGTGTGTCTCTTAGACCTATCACAGCAGGACTGGCCTGTATGCTGCTTTGATTCAATAAAGAGTTTTCATCAGACTTTACTGTTGTGTAATACTGGTTGGTAAAGAGTGAGAGAGAGAAAACATATGTCATTCTGACATCCTAATCTATTTTGCTACTAGATATAACAGTGACGTATAGTGACTGAGTGACAACTAATCCTCAACAGTTTTGAATTTGGGTATTTTAATTCAGAAATAACATTTTTTTAAGAAACACAGTACCTGCCTTCATTGTCTATCCTGTTCTTGCTTACCATTAGGAAGTCAGAAAACAATAGTACAGCTCTCCAGATCTTATACAGGCCACCAAATTTTTCAGCCATTACAAATACTACTGTAACAATGAACATATCCCCTTTGGGTCAATGAGGGCATGTAAGTTCCAAACCACAACTGCCTCTCTAGGTATCAGTTATCAGTGACTTTGAAGTGTTTGTATTTCATTGTAAGAAAAGATCCACAGAGAGCAATATCTTCTTCAATTTTTAAGCCTTTTCTATTGTGATAGTATCTTTAAGAGTGGTAAACAATTTAGTGAAAATATTATCTGACCCAGAGTATGAGTTACAGGTCACTTTTCATCAGTGAAAATGGTATGTATGCAAACCAGTGAGTTACCCACTCACAAGCTCACAGAAGTTCAGTGAGCAGCACATAATAAAAGCTGGCATTCC